TGAGACTGGATAAAATGGTTATGCATACGTTAAAAGAAAATGGAAACCTGACTCATACTATATAAAAACCCAGATGAATTAGGAATTACATACCAAAAACAAAACTTTAAAATTCGTAATGGGATTTACAGCCAAGACAAGATTTCCTGATCTAACCAAGAATGTCCAAAGACTGGTAAATATGAATTCATTAAAATGTAAAATGTTAGTTCATTAAATGACACCTTAGAAGTCAAACTAAAAATTAGGAGAAGATATTTACAATATATGCCACCACACATGGTTATTATCATGAGTGCACAAAAAAACTTCAAGTGTTTACAAAAAGCACAAACAATACTCCAGAGGAAGAGGCAAAAATTAAGACCAAGCTTTTCACAGAAGAGCTGAATAGAGATGTGCAACATTAGTAAACAGGAAACACAAATCCAGACTGAGGCAAGTATCATTTTTCATATTTTTATTATTTATTTTTTATATCAAAAAATAAGTTGGACCACACCAAGTGCCAGAGTGGACCATGGGGGTCTCTGGTATATTCCCAAGGAGAGTGTAAGTTGGTGTTCCATTTGGAAAACAGTTTGGCACAACTCCCAAACTTGAGCATTCGCATGCGTCAGTCCCTGTGACTGTGTTGGGATTGTGGGGAGGACAATGAGGATGGAGAGTGACAGAGAGACCAATGAGGAAGCTGGAGTTCGTCTATGATAGAGGCTGGCTATGTAGGTAGAAAGAATTTTTTCATCCAAGAGACATTTAAATCAACGAAAGACTAGAAGAAGAACATCACAGAACATAATATCCAAATGACCAGTGAACATATTAAAGGGTGCTCAACCTCATGAGCTGGTGAAAAAATACTATAACCACGGGAAAGTGCCACTAAACATTCACCCAAGGGTCACATGTTGAGGAGGATGTATGACTACCCATATTTTCACAGAGGGCTTGTGGGTGTGTAAATTTGGAAAATGGTATAACTTTATACTGAAGGACCCATCAGTTCTGTTCCCAGACACACCCATCAGAAATGTGTGCACATGCTCACTGAAAGACATATACAAGAATGTTCATAGCAGCACAGTTCATAATAGCCAGGAATCAGTGACCGCCCAAATGCCTATTGATAATAAGTGGACAACCTGTGGCGTAGTCACGCAATGAAATGCTGTAAAGCAATGGGAAATGCGGAAGATACACATGACATGGTGACTCTCAAACCGGTCTCAAAAGAGTATGCACAATATGATTCGTTTTTCATCAAGTTCAAAAACAGAAGTGAGGATGGCGGTGACCTTCAGGGAGAGGAGTGATAATTGGCAAGGTTAAGAGGGGTATGGTGGGCTGCGCTGTGATGGGTAAGGTGGGAGACCGTGGCACCCGGCTGGGGCAGAGCAGCCATGGAGGGTGCACACAGCCCATTGATGGAAGAAGGACATTTGTCCTAAGCGGACTTGGCTGCACTCAGAGCCCCTGCCCAGAAAGACCTTCTGGGCCTGCCCAGAAGCCTTTCGGGGTAGGGTGAGGTAGGGTAGAAGCCGTCACCTGGGACATTGGGAAAGTTACTTAACTTTCCTGGGCTGTAATGCACGTTCTACTCTGGCACTTCGATGATGCCAGTCATATTGTTTGTTAACGAGGAAAACATGTCACTCCATACACTTAATGATTTGTGTATTTTTCTATATGAGGGAGGACCCAAAAAACCCCCAGAATTTGTTTATTAAAAATTGTGCATTTATTCTTACATGTTTACACTTTAGTCACCTTCAAAGTACTCTCCGTTTGATGCAATACACCTATTGAGACACTTTTTCACTGCTCAAAACAGTTTTTTTGAACTCATCAGTTCTGATGCCTTTTAGTGCTTCTGCCTTTTTTTTTTTTTTTTTACCTCTTCCACATCGGTACAATGTTTCCCTTTGAGAACTTTTTGCATGCAAAAAAACAAAAACAAAAAAAGTCACAAGCAGAGAAACAACAGCAAAAAAGTCACTCAAGCCGAGTTCGGTGGCTCAGCCTGTAATCCCGCACCTTTGGGAGGCTGAGGTGAGTGGTTTGCCTGAGCCCGGGGGTTTGAGACCCGCCTGGGCAGCGAGACCTCATCTCTACAATAAATCAAAAAAAAATCAGCCGGGTGTGGTAGCTCATGCCTGTAATTCTGGCTACTTGGAAGGCTGAGGCGGAAGGATTGCAGGAGCCCAGCAGGTCGAGGCTGCGGTGGCCGGGAGCAGCCACTGCATTCCAGTCTGGGTGACTGAATGAGACTCCAACTCAAAAAAAAAAAAAAAAAGTCACTCAAGGAGAGATTGGGTGAATAGGGAGGGTGGAGCAGAGGGGTCATGCTGTTTTTGGTAAAAAAACGAAAAACTGCTGAACACAGCGTGTTGTGGGTAGGTTGTTCATGTAAATCACCCTTCATGAAATAGAGAATGTGTTGAAAGAATCCCCCCAAAATTTACTGAAGCCGAATGCAGCCTCTCACAACAATGCTAGCTGGTACACTGATGCAGATGGGTTCCTAGAACAATTACCCAGTGGGGAAAGCCTGTACTACAAGAGGCCCGCCCCCCAAAATATAGTTCCAGGTTTTGGGGGGTTCCCCTCATATGTCTGATATATCTCAATTCAAAGTTTACTTTTAAAAGGAGGGATTTACTAGCACTTTGGGAGACTGATGTGGGAGAATTACTTGAGCCCAGGAGTTCAAGATCAGCCTGGGCAACGTATCAAGACCTAGCCTCTGTTAAAAAAAAAAAAAAAAAATTAGCTGGGTGTCGTGGCGCAGGCCTGTAGTCCCACCTACTTGGCAGGCTGAGGTGGAAAGATCACCTGAGCCCAGGAGGTCAAGGTTGCGGTATGCTGTGATCATGCCACTGCAGTCCAGCCTGGGCACAGAGTAAGAATCCTGACCCAAAATAAGTAAATAAATAAATAAAAAGAGGAATTTAGAAGAACCAATGGGACATCAGGACTGATAGATGTGGACGGAGAGGAACAGAAGGAATCTACCATGACCCAGGTTTTGTCCTGAGCCACAGCTAAAGGGAGTGACCCTTCACTGAGATGGGAGACAGCAGAGGAGGAGCTGGCATGGCAGGTGGGAGAATCAAGCTCAGCTTCAGACACACCACGGTGGAGGGATCTGTGAGGCATTCCATGAAGACATCAAGTTTAGAGCCCAGGTGAGAGGACCATAATAAAGTATACCATAGACTTAGGTTAAGAGCATACTATAACCCAATAAATATGTAATCAGCTTGTGGACAATAGCACAGCCATTTTTAGTTTTCTGCTTTAAAACATAACCTGTAGCTGTTTAAAGTTTCAGTTATGGAAAAAAACTGTAAAGCTCCAGTTACAAGCTTCAACCCCTTCCTTTATCTCACTTTCCCCTTAGCAACAACCAATCAGGTGCCAGGGGGTAATCACCTAAGTTTCCAGATGTCTCTACAACTTCCCTAGCTAGTGAGCCAAGGTCAGCCTGAGTCAGGCTAGCCAATCCTTCACGATTAAGCTGACCACCAGAGGTTGCTACCCAATTAAATGGTAACAAAACTGGAAAGTCCCCCAAACTCCTCCTCCCTTTGTGTAAAAGCATAAAAGCCATCTGCTTAAGAAAGTCAGGGCCTCTGGGTGTACTCTGCTACGTCGGTGGTCGACAGAGGTCCAGGCTCGAGCTTGTAAATAAAGACCCTCTTGAACTTTCATCAGAATTGGCTCTTGGTGGTCTCTCGGATTGAACTTTCGGCCACTACACAGGGAGAAGTCAGAGCTGGAGATACAGACTGGGAAGTCCTCACTGTGCAGCCAGAACACAAGGCCACGGGGCTGGTTGAGATCCCGAGAGTGTGAGTGTAGGTGTGGAGAGAAGAGACGGGCCAAGGACAGGGTGAGCAGTTGGCCTGGTGAAAAGTAAGCACCACAGACGAGGTCAGACATGCTGGCTTACACCTGTAATCCCAGCTTCTTAGGACGGCAAGATGAGAGGATGGCTTGAGGAGTTCAAGACCCATGTCTACAAAAAATCCGAAAAATTGGCCAGGCGTGAAGGCCCATACCTGTTGCCCCAGCTACTCGGGTGGCTAAGGCAGAAGGATCGCCTAGAACCCAGGAGGTTGAGGCTGTGATAAGCCATGATCACACCACTGCACTCCAGCCTGAGTGACTGAGGGAGACCCTGACTCAAAAAAAACCAAAAAACAAAAAACAAGCCACACAAAAAAGACCAAGAAGGAGCAGCCAGAGAGCTAGGAAGCACCCACCACATTTTGTTCCTAGAAGAAAACCGGGAGAGATGATGTCCCTGGGCCAAGTGACTTCAAGGAAGAGAGAATGATCACCGTGTCTGGCGCTGCTGAGAGATCAGGATGAGATCTGAGAACCGACTACTGGATTTAACTACATGGTGGCCACTGGTGAACTTGCCAGGGGCACTTTCGTGGAGTGGTGATGTGTAGAGCAGGGGAGGACAGGTGGGAGGTGAGGACAAGAATGCATGGAATCCAGACAGCTCTTCCCAGAGTGTGCTGGAAGGTGAGCAGAGCAGAGCACTGGGGCAGCAGGTGGAGGGGATGGTGGAGAGGGAGCAGTGGACACAGCCAGAGAGAGAGGCCACATCTTGGGCCAGGCCATTGAGTAGGTGGGAAGAGAGCAAGATTGCACTACACGTGGTGCCAAAGGACAGGAAGGGCAAGATTTAAGCAATCAGAGAAAGGTGGCCTTGCAGATAAGGTGCTGCCTGAGGAGGGTGACAGAGGCCACTCAGCTCCTCCTCTTCCTCCTTCCCTCAGCCAGGCTCCAGCAGGTGGATTCCGAGGTTTCTTCTAGGAACCAGGCGGCTGCCTCGGTGGGAGCGGGGAGGACTTAGGGCTGGACGGGGCTGGGTGTGGCACCTTTACGGCCCGGTTCATTCAGCCTCGGGCAGGAACAAAAACAGTGGGTGCCTTGGACCACAGCAGTGCTGGGAGAAGCTGCAGGAGCCGGGCAGACGGACCAGCATGGTGGAGTTTGCACCCCTGTCTGTGCCGTGGGAGCGCAGGCTGCAGACCCTTGCGGTCCTACAGTGGGTCTTCTCCTTTCTGGCTCTGGGTAAGGTGGGCTGCCTTGTGATGGGTAAGATGGGAGACCGTGGCACCTGGGTGGGACACAGCAGCCATGGCGGGTGCACACAGCACACTGATGGTAGAAGGACATTTGTCCCAAAGGGGGCTTGGCTGAACTCAGAGCCCCTGCCCAGAGAAAGCTCCTGGGCTTACCCAGAAACCTTCTGGGGGTGGAGTGGGTGGGGGGGTGTGGAGTAGAAGCCATCACCTGGGGCTTTGGGAAGATTACTTATTTTCCTGGGCTACACTGCAGGTTTTACTCTGGATGGAGACCAGTCTGCAGGCTACTGGGGGCATGGGGAAGACTCTGGGTGATGGTAGGAAAGTTCCAGACTGCTCAGGGAGGAGGGATTTGTGTCCTTTCAGACAGGAGGAAGCCGGGACTGGAGGTAGGGGAGGAGGGGGACAGGAGAAGAACAAGAGAGGGAGAGAAGGTGCAGGCAGAGAAGGGACTGAAGAGTGTGCGTGGCTGGTATCAGCAAACCCTGGGTCAGAGTCCAACTGGACAACTGACAACTGTATGACTTGGCTGACCCATGCCTAACCTCTGCAAGCCTCTACTTTATTATTTGTCGAATGGGGATGACAATGCAGACCTTACAAGACTGTTGTGGAGGAAATGAAGAAATGTGCTTACTTATGGCCAGCACGGATGTGGCTGGCCCCGGGACTAGGCTCACACAGGAAAGCATGGTTATGTCCCCTTACTCAGCCCACACCATTTGTTTGTGGTCATAGAGGTCACCCTTGCTCAAACTCTGGCTCTGCCAAAGGGAACATTTCTGAGGAGGGCCTGGGACTGTGGGTTGGGCACAGGGTGTGGCTGGAGGTCTAAGGGCTTCTTGTTTTCATCTGCAGGCACTAGACCAGGTAGCAACTGCTTCCCCCGGGGCTGGGGTCCAGCCAGTGCACAGATACCTACTATTCTGGTTGCTAAAATGTTTACATACTCGGTTTGTCAATAGCCATTTCATACTGACCGTGGTGGTTCATGCCTGTAATCCCAGCACTTTGGGAAGCCAAGGCAGGAGGATTGCTTGAACCCAGGAGTTCTAGACCAGGTTGGGCAACATAGCGAGGCCTCATCTCTACAAAAAAATCAAAAAATTAGCTGAGTGTGGTGGTGTACTCTTGTAGTCCCAACTACTTGGGAAGCTGAAATGGGAGGATCAACTGAGCCCAGGAGATAGAGGCTGTGATGGGCCATGATCATGCCACTGTACTTCAGCCTGGGCAACAGAATGAGACCCTGAGCACCCCCCCCCCCAAAAAAATAGCTATCTCACATATAAACACACACGTGCGCGCACACACGTGCTCCCTCAGAACCTCCCCACGTTTTTGTAGTTAAAGGTTTCTGGCAAAATAGGCCCTCTAGGATGCTGCCCCTTGCACCATTTTTAACTGATCTGCAACTCTGTTCTAAAGGTTGTTAAACATTTTTGCAGATCCCTGGTTATGCCCATTACACAAGTGAGCAGATAAAGTAAGGATCAGCCCGCAGCAAGAGATGCAAAGTCCGAGGTCAGAGGGGACATTCCACACTGGGCCTGGTCCTAGCCCTGCTACACCCCTACGCCACGGGGTGGCCAAGGATTGGCCTTTCCCTCCTTCCTCAACAGCAAAAGGCATTGGAGGCCATGAACACAGAACTCAGTGAATTTGGGGAACGCTGGGCAGTGAGTGTGGCCGCAGCCTTGGGTACACATGAGCGAGGCAAGAGCAGGAGAGGACAGGGTGGCTCTGAGTACTAGGCTGAGCTGCCTGGACTGTGCCTGAAGTTATGGAGATGTCACAGAGCTTGCATAAGAGGAGAGACCTGCCGAACTTCTCTTTGAAAAGATGAGAAGAAGCTGGGCTCGGTGGCTCAGCCTGTAATCCCGCGCCTTTGGGAGGCTGAGGTG